AAGAGGTTATTAAAACTTCAAATGAGTTAGGATCTGATGCCAATTGTTGAGTTAATCGATTGACGGAATCGGCCAAGAGGGGGGGTGAATTGGCAATTAAAATTTTGGTGGAAGCTTTTGCAGAAAATTGAAAGTAATTGCACAGCGATTTAGAGTGGTTCGACTTTATCAACCAAAGTCTACGTCCACTACCTTAGCTATCCACACTAAGGATTTTCCAACAAATTCACTAATTTGTTCTTTCTTTTGAGGACAAATAGTAACCTTACAGCTCCCTCAATAATTATACCCCAAATTCTTGAGCACACTCTTTTTCAAAGAGAAATACACAAATTTGCAAACTTACAAGGAAAAACCTCACAAGGTAAGATGTTTGAACAATTCTAGAACAAGAAAAGAACACTCACAAATAATTACAAATGAGCACAAATGGTGTTCTTTGAAAGCAAAATGAATATTAAAAGGAAAATTTGCTTGATTTGCACAAACTTGGTGTTTGATGCTTTCTCTCTTGTTTCTCTATGATTTCTTGTTGATCAAAGGCTTCAGAACTTGTTTAAATACACCTTGAATCACTTCTGAACGTTGGGGATGATTAGTGAAGATAATATAGTCGTTTTAGTGTGAAAACAATTAATAAAATAGCTTGGAGCGTGGGGGGAATCGGTACCCCCTATGGGGAAACGGTTCCCTAAGTGTAAAATTCAAATATTTCGACCGTTATACAAGGGGGGAATCGGTACCCCCTGGGGGGAATCGGTTCCCTCCGAGCATACTGGAATTCTCGGAGCCAAACCATTCATGGGGAATCGGTCCCCTTAGGGGGAATCGGTTCCCTCTGAGCAACCTGGAATTTTTAGCTTTGAAATGGTTCGAAATACTTTGTAAAATTATTTTGAAATTGTTTTAAGATTAAAACATAATTTTATACTTGAGTAAGGATTAAAAATGATTTTTGAAAGATTTGGAGTAATGTTTTGATATTCGAATAGTTATATCGAATATACTTAGAAAATTATTTGGAAAATCTTAAAATTCAATTAACTTAATTTGTTATATCGAAATATCAAAATGTTTTCAATAGTAAGAGCATCTCAACATTTACAGAAGTGGAGGATAAAAATCTAAAAGACATAATTTCACTCAGAGTATAGAAATTATCGCAGAGAGTATGTTTCTCACTAAGAATAACATCTCACGTAGGGGTTGACTTATCTCACAAAGGATAACATTTCACGCGGAGGATGACTTCTCTCGTAAAGGATAACATTTCACATAAAGGATGACTTCTCTCGGGGAGGATAGCATCTCACGTGGAGGATAAGAGAAATTATGTTTCCATATTGATTCTAAAGGGTAGCAAACGCACCTTGACTCTTTTGACTGGTCATTGATAGGGGTGGCAAAGTTATTGTAGTAAGATATAGGGCAAAGGTTTCTCTAAGCCCTTATCTACAGAGAATGTGTCTCTTCACTCTCGAAGAGATTTGGTTATTGTCCTGGTGAAAAGTGAAAACAAATGGGAAAAATGTCAACTTTCCCTTTGCCAATGTAAATGCATCTCGATACCGTAGAAAAGGTATCTCAGCATTATTTGGATATGACTCTGAGTTGTATTAGTAAGAGTGAGAGGTGTCCTGACATTAGTCGGGCTTTAGGAGGTATCTCAATGATTCATGGATAGAAGCATCTTAACATTTTGTTAGAGTTAAAGCTCTCGACTCATTCGGTTGATTTTGGGACGTAATTTTATTTTCTAAAGAGAGCATGAAAAATCTCAATGTTGTTCGACTAGGTAGAGGAGACTACTAAGTCTGCAATGGCACACTACGATAGGTGTATATCCATCTTAACACGTACCACACACTACAAGTAGAAATGAGGCATCTTTTTTGTGTAAAGTTAGGGCAAAGACATCTCAATGCCGCAAAGGATACATGTCAGCCTCTCAAGTTGATTCATGGTCGTAAGCTGGGGTAAAGGAAATTCAATGCTCTTCGGAGATAACTTATGTTATGTAGGTACGAAGACAACTCAATATCTCTATAGTTAGCGAGAAGAGGCTTCTCCGTGTTCTGAGTCATCCCACCTCTTTTGGTGAGTGAATTCATCTCAATACTCAGAAAGAAGGTAGTTCAAAACTCTTTTAGCCAAAAGGAAAATACATCCCTACTATGGCATCACAGTGAAAACATATCATGTTGTGGCAACATACTGAGGATAAAAGAAATATACTTGGGAACTCAATGCTAAAGCGGATGTAGCAAAACCTCAATACATGCATATGTTAGTTGTTCAAACATTATATGCTATTCTAAGGAGGGGTTTCAGAGCATATAGGTCAGATAGTAGTTTGGTAAATTCTAATGAAGGTTGTTCTTGACATGACATGTTAGATCCAAATAATATATTACAAGGAGGTTGCGACCCATACCTAGCGAGAAACTGTCTAGAAGACCATGATAGGGGCTCTTCTTAACATCACGGGTTAGAATTGCATACCATTATATGAGGTTCTATATGATGAAATGCTCACAAAATAAGAAAGAATTTAAGAAGATAGAGAAAATAAAGTAAAGAAAACAGAATTCATCATCATTTCATTCATAATTTCCATATCATTACAACTGAATTTTTATAGGAATTATTTACTAATAGATTGTCAGCTGTATCATTTCTCTAACAACTTATATTCCCTTAACCGTTTTTGTTGTCTTTTGTTGGTTGTAGGTAATTGGGCTCGTCATCTCCTGGTCCAATAAGCACTTAGTCTCTTGCTTCAGCAGTCCACACACGACCCTCTTCTCATCAGGTAACATCTCAGCCCCATCATTGTACTCCTTATCTAATTTCCCAAACATAATCCCTAATTTCCCTGTGTTTCCCCCTTTCTCCTCATCAGCCTGTAATTTATTTCCCCGTTTCTTCTCATCAGTCTCCAGTCTTGCCTCTTGGATCATGACAATACCCCCAGTTGCAATGGATGCTTGTCCCCAAGGATCAAAATCAGGAAATTGGGATCGTAGCACTGTAAAATCCTCCCAGGTAGTATTCTCAATCCCTAAATTCGACCACTGAATCAACAATTGAGTCAATGCCTTATTGTTTCTTTTAATAACTCGTTTATCCAAAACAATTGCAGGATAAACTTGAAGATGTCCATCAGCAGTGAGTTCAGTGGGTCTCGTGAAGCAACACTTCTATCCCCAATTTTCCTTTTCAAAAGGCTGATATGAAATACCGGATGAAGTTTAGAATGAACTGGCAATTCTAATTGGTATGCGACTGAACCAATTCGTTTCTGTATCTTATAGGGACCATAGTATCGAGCAGACAGTTTCAAATTTTTTCATAGAGCTAAGGAAGTCTGCTTGTAAGGCTAAAGTTTAAGGTAAACTTCCTCCCCTTCCTTAAATTCCCTGTCACTGCGGTTTCTATCTGCATAATATTTCATGCGATGTTGTGCTTCAGTGAGTTGTTCTAAAAGGATACTATTGATATTATCCCTCTCCTGCATAAATTGGTGTACATCAGCCACCCTTGTCTCGCTTGACCAAGTCATTGTTGGAGGTGTATAGCCATATAGGGCATGAAAAGGTGTTGTACCCAATGATGTATGAAAACTAGTGTTATACCACCATTCTGTGTGGGAAAACTACTTAGCCCAGGAACTTGGTTTTAGAAAACACAATCCCCTTAAGTACTGTTCAAGACATTGGTTAAGCCTCTCGGTTTGACCATCCGTTTGAGGATGATATGTATAAACAATGTTGTAGTGCCCAATAACTTTAATAATTCCTTCCAAAAAGCACTAGTAAAAATTTTATCTCTATCAGAAAGAGCAACTTTAGGCTGACCATGAAGTTTGTAAACCTGGTCCAAGTAGATTTTAGCAACTTCAGAAGCTGTAAAAGGATGAATCAGGGGTAAAAAATTCCCATAGTTGGTGAATTTATCAATTATCGCCAAAATAGAATTGAATCTATTAGAAGTATGCAGCCCTTCAATAAAGTCCATAGTAATAAACTCCCAAGCATGCTGTGGAATAGGTAAAGGTTGTAATAATCCAGGCTGTAAAACATGTTCATTTTTTATTCTCTGAGAAACATCACATTGCTGCACATACTGTTTAACCAGTGCTTTCATTCTTTTCCAATAAAAATACAACTTCATCCTATAATAAGTAGCATGTATCCCAGAATGGCCACCTTGTGGTGAATCATGAAGTATATAAAGAATCTGCTGTCTTAGACCACCTGTCTCACCAATATAAACTTTACCTTTGTATCTCAAAACACCCTTAGCATAGGACCAATCTGCTATAGAATTATTATCAAGTAACAACTTAGGAATGAAATCCTTTGCCAAAGAATCCTGCTCATAACTGTTTTCTACCTCTTGTACCCAAGCAGGAATAACAATTGTAGCAGATAACTGATTTAATTCTGATTTGTTTTCAAACTGTCTAGATAAAGCATCAGCAGCTCTGTTATGTTTGCCTCTTCGAAACTGAATTGAGTAATCCAGTCCTAGCAATTTTGTTGGACCTTTCTTCTGAATAGCAATACTAATCTTCTGTTCTAACAAATGTTTCAAAGATTCATGATATGTTTTAATAATAAATGGACTCCCTTCAATATAATGTCTCCATTTAGAAATAGCCATTAATATTGCTAGATACTCCTTCTCATAGATAGACAAATCAATTTGCTTTGGTCCCAAAGCCTTACTGAGGTAAGAAATTGGTCTGCCTTCTTGGGACAAGACTGCACCTATACCCTTAGAACTGACATCAGTTTCTAAACAAAATTGCTTTGTAAAATCTGGTAAAGCCAGCATAGGAGCCCTACACATAATCTCTTTAAGTGTGATAAATGCCTTCCTAGCCTCCTTAGTCCAAAAAAATTGATCCTTTTTCAACATAGTAGTGAGGGGTTTACTTATTTCTCCATAACCCTTAATAAATTTTCTGTAGTAGCCAGTGAGGCCCAAAAAACCCCTCAAGATTTCAAATTCCTTGAAATGGACCATTCCTTAATAGCTTGAATTTTTGAAGAATCTGTAGCTACTCCCTGTGGAAAAATAGTATGACCAAGGTACTCCACCTCTGATTGGCCAAAGAAACATTTAGTTCTCTTAGCAAAAAGCTTATACTGCCTTGGAATTTCCAACTGTTGTGCATGACTATGTAAATCAGGGCTGTAGATTAAAATATCATCAAAGAATACTAGAACAAATTTCCTGAGATAAGCTCCAAATAAATCATTCATAAGAGCTTGAAAAGTAGCTGGTGCATTAGTTAAGCCAAAGGGCATTACCTTGAATTCAAAATGACCATGGTGTGTCCTGAAGGTTGTTTTTGGAATGTCTTCCGGCCTGATCCGAATCTGCTAGTATCAAGATCTTAAATCTAATTTAGAAAAAAAATTTAGCTCCAGCTAGTTCATCCAAAAGATCATCCACCACAGGTATAGGAAATTTGTTCTTAACAGTTAAAGTATTTAACTGTCTATAATCAATGCACATTCTCTAACTACCATCTTTCTTTTTTACTAACAAACAAGGTGAAGCAAAAAGACTTTTGCTAGTTTGATAATTGATGCTGCCAACATTTCAGTCACCTGTTTCTCAACCTCTGATTTTTTATGATAAGGCATTCTGTAAGGTCTGACATTAACTGCTTCAATTCCTGATTTTAAAATAATAGAATGATCATGTTTCCTTATTGGAGGCATTCCAGTAGGCTCCTCAAATACATCTTTGTAATCAGTAATTACTGCTTGAATTGTAGGAGGAATTTCATTATAACCAACCTCTGCATTTAGCATATAAATCTCCCCAACTGCTTCAGGATTCTTAATCATCAATTTCTGCATTTTGTTGTCTAAAATTATCCTCATTGCAGTAGTGTGCAATCCTTCCCGCAATACAATCTCTTGGTCACCCATTTTAAAGCTAAGAGTCATGTTGTTAAAATCCATTAATATTGGACTATATTTCTTCATCCAATCAACTCCTAGCACCATATCACTGCCTCCAAGGGGTAAAACCCTAAAATCATGTGCAAAAAGAAAATCTTGCATCTCCCAACTCAATTTTTTACTCTTTGTTGTACTACAAAGTTTATCACCATTAGCTACTGTGATAACTAAGGGATTAGTTTCCTCCACTTTCAACCCTTCTTTAGCCCACCTATTAGTGACAAAATTGTGGGTGCTGCCACTATCAATTAATATACTGAGTGGTTTCCCTTTTATGAATCCTTGAATCCTCAAGGTACTACTTCCTAAACTGCCAGTAATTGCATTCATAGAAATCTCAGGATCTTTTTCTTCTAATGGTACTTTATCAATATTAGTTTGAGTTGCTTGTAATTCTTCAGCATCCTCTTGCTCTTCCACCTCTTCCATAGAATTCAATTGCTTCAATTTGCAATGATGTCCTGGAGTAAACTTGTCACCACATTTATAGCATAAATTATTGGCCCTTCTATAATCCAGTAGCTGTTGTCTGTTTGTAGGAGGTGTTGAACTGTTTTTCAAAGGTGAACTTAGTGAAGGATTAGAATTCCTAGAACTGGTAGAATTCCCTGGCAGCAATGGTCTGAAAATACTTCTGAATTTTTTACTTTCCACTTCTGCTAATAGGTCATAGAGTTTTGCTTTCCTAGCAGCTTCAGCTACAGTCTTGGGTTCCAAAACCTTCACCTTATGCTTCAATTCCTCTTTAAGACCACTCAAAAAACTGGAAACAAAATACTCCTCTCCTAGTTCAGGATTAATCTGTAGAAGGTAAGGTTGAAGTTCCTCAAACTGAGCTTCATACTCCTCCGCAGAGGACAGTTGAGTCAATTTATTAAATTCATCAATAACATCAATATATCCTTTATCAGTAAATCGATGACACATATCAGAAACAAACTCATGCCAAGTAACTCGACTTTTCTTCATAATATACCCATCAAACCATACTTCAGCCTTACTAGTAAAGTACATGGCAGCTATTTCTAACTTCTGTAATTCAGGAACATCAAAGATAGAAAAATATTTCTCACATTTCCTAATCCAACTCCTAGGATTAGTACCATCAAAGAACTGGAGCTCTATTTTTGGTTTCGGAAGAAACATACCAGTGTTGTTATTCCTGGAATGTTTTTCCATAAATGGATGACCCTTACTGACATATTGTTCCCCTGACTCCATTGTATTTGTTGTTGTTTTCATCTTAAAAACATCATGTGGCAAGGTAGGCTTGGATGCTAGGATTCCTGGTTATCCTGGTTGAAATGAGTATTTCTCCTTATCATCAAGGACTGTAACTTGTAATGGCATTTTAGTTGCATCCTTGGTCTGAGTTGGTGATGCTTGTGGTCGTTCTGCAGGAGTAGATTGCCCAGATTCAGTCCCAGCCTTCTGTATCAACCCTAAAAGTTACTGAAGCATGTTCTTCGTGTCAATTGTTGTGGCCTCCAGTAGTTGCATCCGCTGCTCCTAATTACTCTGTTGATTAAGCCACCAAGTTGGAACTGGCTCCACCTCAGAAGACTCTACTGGATCAACAGGAATGACCGGCGGCTGATCATTGTGTGCCATCTGCTGTAATTTATGTGTCTTACCTAGCTTGAAAAAAAAAATTAGTATTTTTGGATCAAAATGGCCTTGCTCTGAATACCAATTGTGATGAAACGCTCACAAAATAAGAAAGGATTTAAGAAGATAGAGAAAATAGAGTAAAGAAAATAGAATTCATCATCATTTCATTCATAATTTCCATCTCATTACAACTAAATTATTATAGGAATTATTTACTAACAGATTGCCAGCTGTATCATTTCTCTAACAACTTATATTCCCTTAACCGTTTATGTTGTCTTTTGTTGGCTATAGGTAATTGGGCTCATCATCTCCTGGTCCAATAAGCAATTGGTCTCTTGCTTCAGCAGTCCACGCACGGCCCTCTTCTCATCAGGTAACATCTCAGCCCCATCATTGTACTCATTATCTAATTTCCCAAACATAATCCCTAATTTCCCCGTGTTTCCCCCTTTCTCCTCATCAGCCTGTAATTTGTTTCCCCGTTTCTTCTCATCAATCTCCAGTCTTGCCTCCTGGATCATGACATTCTAACTCATACCTTTCATCAATGATTCAACACCGAGGATCAGTCGATGATTCCTTGAGCATGCCTTTCTTGTTGTTGTCTGGGAAGCTTGAAACTATGTATGCAAGCTTCGCAACTTGCTTTAAAGGCTTTGAATTTGTTGGTTTTCTGAGCCATAAGAATTTGCAGGTCTTTATTGACTGGTAAAAGATAAAGAAAATGTAGGGTGGGATGATTTTGAGAACAATAATAAAGATTGGTTTGACCGTTTTAGTTTTAAGGATCTTTTTTACCGACATTTGAAGATCAAAAGTTTTTCACATCCACTGCACTAATTGTTGATGAGAACAAATGAGTTGCGTCAGTCACTGACATTTTACCCTTCTAATTTGGGCGGGGAACCGCAACCAATGCAAAGATGAATACTAGCGAGTTAGTCTTTTTGAGAGGAAAAAAGAGAAAGATGGTCTGAGAGAGAAGATGAATAATGTAGATAAGAGAGCTGAGAGAACGAGAGACTTTCTTTCAGTCTTTCCTCGGAATATAAATGTCCCAACTATAGGGTGATTAGTGTTAGGTCTAGGATCATCATGTCTGTTAATAGGCTAACAAATTGAACAGGTACGAGTGTCAACTATTAGATTTGGCTTTGTCAAATATCATGTCAAAGATCGAGAGTATAGACTCCAAAAAAATGATATTGACGAAGGATGATTCCGGAGATAATATAATATCTATGAGAATCTTTATTGACAAAGGTTCGATATAATTTCCGAAGGATATCTATGTAGGTATAACACACTTTTTTTTTTCTTCTAAATATGCACTCAAATTCTTTTATAAAAAAAATTGTTGGGGGAGAACTGGGAAGGGAATAAAGGCTGAGCTTTTCCTTTTCATCTAAGAGTGGTGGATGTTGTTGGCCTTTGGCTCATAGAGTTCTGGTATGCCCCCGGCTCAAATCTGCTCCAACATCGCTATTAACCAAAGAATAATAATAACAATAAAAACGAATTTTCTTCTGCTGAAACTCTTTGCTTGCGCCACAAAAATTCCCTCAGCTTTGGTAGTTTAACACTAACGTTTTTGCTTCTCCGTTTTTTTTTAATTAAATCAATGTATTGAAGCATATATACATATGGGTTTATTTATTTATTTTCCTTTTTTCCTTGGAATGGAAATTCATGAATTTCCAGTTTTAGGCTGCACTATTCAAGAAATGATTGGAATAGTAATTTTATGTTGATTAATTGTATCATTTTTAATTTAATGGTAGTTTTGGTGCGAAATGTTTTGTAGTTAATTTTATAGAACATTTATTTTCTTTTTTCTGCTAAAGGAGAATTGAATTTATGCATATTTGAATTAAGATCTTATCTGTGGGGTTTTTTTTATTGTTTGTTGAATTATTTTCACAGTTGTATGAAGAAGAAAAAAATTCCTTGAATTTTTTTTTTTTGAAGTAAGAAGGTGAATATGGGTGCGTCAGAGAACAGTGCTTTGTTCCCAATCTTTGTGTTCACTATAATGGCTTTGCCATTAGTGCCATACACTCTAGTTAATATATTAAGCGCCTTCTCAAAGAAGGCGACGACTATCCACTGCCAGAGTTCCGTGTGTTCTCGTTCGGGGAAGTATAGGAAATCGATTTTCAAACGGGTAGGTTCGCCTCCAGTTACTTTCATTTATATCCGGAATGTTATTTCTATTCGAGTAATATTTATGATCCTTTGGATTGCTTTGGCAGATCTCAAACTTCTCTACATGTAGTAATCTTACCCTTGTGCTTCTTTGGATTGTCATGGGGGTGCTGATATACTATATCAAGCATACAAGTCATGAGGTACTCCGTTCGTTCTTAATTTCCGATGACAACATGATTCTGTTCGATAGTCAGCTGCTAAACCTCATCCTCTCTAATGGAACTTTGGGTTTAGGTGAAGAATTTAAATCTTATGTGTGGTTTGAAAAAAATGTAGATATTCATTCTCCCCTAATTGTTTCTGTTTTTGAATGTGCATTGATGGTCATATACTTATATCTACTTGGTCATGTATTAATATATTAATGCAAACAAGCAGTTTGTTTGTTTCTTCAACATTGTTGTGTATGTGGTGTGCCTTGGCTTTTTCTCATGATAAAACATGATTAATCTTTGTTTCACTTGATTCTCAGGTTAAAGTGTTTGAGCCATTTAGTATTCTTGGTCTTGAACCTGGAGCCACAGATTCAGACATAAAGAAGGCATATAGGAGACTTTCTGATACATGCACCACATGCCCTAAAGCTAAAGATGATGAATTTACTATACCACTTGGCCCTATCACACGAGGCCGGACCAAACTTCTTAAAGACAAGCTTCAAATCGCAGTTCAAGCATTCATCCGGAAGGGTCTAATAGCAGCAGATTTGAAACAACTTTTTGAAGGGGATCCAGTTGTTATCCGGTCGATATGTCTTCTGGAGATACAACCGTCTGTCTCTTATCTTTCCAACGGTTCTTGAATCGCATCAATCCGATATCGGGAACTCAAGATATGGTCATTTTACTGAAGACGGTGCATGCAGGAAATCTTATACGGGATTAATACGTTATTTTGTAAATATTACGAATTTTCAATATTTATATTGATTATTTGTAATATAATTTAATATAGGATGATTAATTATCTTTTAGGATCAGATTTATTATTTTATTATGAATTAAGGTTGGGTTAAAACAATATTTTTAGTTATTATTATTATTTTATTAGGAATTAGAGTTAAAACATGTTTAGTTTATTAATATTTTATTCTTTAGTTATTTAGGACCTTTAGAATTCAGCCCCTATATAAAGGAGGCTTCATTCAACTTTGTAAATCAGATTTCTTTGATTAATAATACAACGAGAGTTCGTTTTTTGTAAGTGTTGATTGCCTTGTGCCTTCGAAGCTTCTTCTCCTTGAGTTCTTTCAAGTTCTTGTGAGGGAGATTAATCTTCACACTCCAATTTTCCTTTTCATCGCGACTAGGAGGGTTGGTTAGAGCCATTTATCGTGTTTTCCTTTTCATTGCGACTAGGAGGGCTCGATAGGACACTTATCCATCTATTTTTCCACAAATCCATCCGCACCATCAATCATCTTTATCGTTCACCTTCATAAGGGAGATCTTTTGATTTCTTGTTTATCTTATTTTATTTGCAATTCATTTATCTTTTCTTTATCTTGTTTTAATCTTATTTTTATCTTGTTTCCAGCACATAAAAAAAACCCTAAACAATCCTAGCGACTGCCGCCACCTTCCCATATTCATCACCTTTGTTCTTCATCGAGTCTAGAGCTTTTCTAGGTTTGATTCTTCAACAAGAGCAACGTTCATTAACCCGCCACCGCTTCCCTATCAATTGGTATCAGATTTGGGCCGATTCTTGGAAAGAAGCAAGCAATTTTGCTTGTTCTTGCACACAAAACCGTCAAGGTACCCCAACGGAGCTAGTTCAGAGAAGATTCATCGTTTCAGGTTCTTTTTATTTAATTTTAATTTAGATTCAAATCCTTCTTGTTAGTTTGCTATTTTTTTCAAAAACAAAACAAAAAAAGGCACAAAAAAGGCACAAAAAAGGCACAAAAAAAAGCAAAAAAAAAACCAAAATTTCAAAAAAATTGCAAACGAATGTATTTAGGGCTGATTTTCTGTAGATATCATATCCATCTTAATTTTAATTTCCATTACAAAATTCACTTCAATCAGAGTTCATTAGAGCATGCAAATACATCATTCAAGTTTTATCAGCAGATTCGGTCTAGAATATTGTCGAATTTCTTGAAAATTATACAGGAGGAATATTGTGGTGAAAATTTCCAGATTGAAACATAATATATTTGAGATCATTCACACAAAATATCAGAATTTTTGGAGATCAAGAACAACTTTGAAAAAAGTGATCAAGAAAAATAGATTGTTTGAGGACTCACCGTTCAACAGAGTCTACTGGATACTAGTGAAGGTATTTGGTTCTGAAATTTTACAGGTGGTTTCTTGACGCATCGAAAGACATTCAAGAAATTCTTTAGAATTTTTGGACACCGGTAACCCCCTCAAAAACGTTTCTCAAGTTGATCCAGCGTTTTCTAGGTTTTCTGGTTTGGTCCCTTTTTCTTTGACTCTTAGTGCTTTAGGTTCTTTTGTTTTTCCTTGTTATTGTTCTTTTGCATTATCTAACACATTATCTTCTTTGTGTTAGTAGGACTAAAGAGTTTGCATACTTCTTCCTTCTTTGCATTCTCGTTCTCTTGGAGTCTAACCTTTGTTTGGCCTCTTAGAGCTTTTAGGTTTTTCTTATCGCCTTTGCTAGTAATCAAACTCCGATACGAACTGTGAAAGACTACTTGGTAAAGTGAGTTTTAAAGAGTACAAGATCGGCTTACTTGCCTCTCGTTGTGTTACTTTCTTGGAGTGACTTGTGAGGTTTCTTGCTTTGTTGAATTTATTTTATTTTATTTTTATTCTACTTTAAAATCTTCTTTTGAGTGTTATAATTGCAGGATGGGCGACAATAACAATGAGACACTTACGGCTATCTTAGCCGCACTTGAATGACTCACAACTCAATTTGATCAACTTAACAATGCCTTGAGAGAATGGCAAGAACTACAACTGGATCAACCAAACCAGAATCCAAGGCCAAACAATGTTGAACTTTTGGCCCCCAGGTGAGCACAACCACGTTTTCAAACACCCGAACTCTTTGCAAAACCAAAGTTCACGATCCCGTCTTTTAAAGGAGACTACGACCCAGACAAGTACATCGATTGGGAAGGAAAAGTTGATCTCTTGTTCGCATACCATGACTACCCCCAAGCTAAACAAGTTCCCCTCATCACCTTGGAATTCGAAGGATATGCTCACACTTGGTGGATGCAAACAAGGAAAAAGATCGACAACTACCAAATTCAACCAATCACGTCTTGGACTGAACTCAAACATGCCATGAGGAACCGATTTCTACCGACACATTATACACGAGAAGTTAAACAACGACTACACCGACTTCGACAAGGTAGAAGTTCAGTTGAAGATTACTACAAGGAGATGCAGTCCTTACTCAATAGGGCTAACATAACTGAAGAAGAAGAGGACACCATGTCAAGATTCGTCGTTGGCTTAAAGTCAAACATCACTGATCTTCTTGATCTCCATGGGTACGAAAACCTCGAAGATACAATAAAGAAAGCAATGACAATCGAAGCACAAATACAAAGGAGATTCCGATTCAAAGAACATTACCAAGGTACTTCATTCTCTTACCAAGGTAATACTTCAAATCCTTCCTCATCTTCTACTCCATCTTCTCAAAAAAAGTCGAGAGATGACAAACTCGATAAAGAAAAACAACGACCAGCGAAGAATGAGTCACTTCCAGCCCCTAAAGACGACACCCGAGAAAGAGACATCAAGTGTTTTAAATGCTTAGGAAGAGGCCATATCAGCCGCAATTGTCCAAACATGAGGACCTTAACCATACTAGGTGATGGATCTTACAATTCTGACTCTGATGACGACATCGCCGACATTCCAGCACATGCCGAAGCCAAAGAAGACAGTGATGACTATGGAAGTGATGAGTACAATGGCACAATCTTGGTGATCCGTCATACATTGAACATCCAAGCATCCAACGAGTCTGACATACAACGTTCCAACATCTTCCACACACGCTGCCTAATCAAGGAACAACCATTCTCCATCATCATTGATAATGGTAGTTGTGTCAACGTCATTAGCTCCAATGTTGTTGAATCACTCAAACTTCCTTGCCAACGACATCCGAAACCTTATTGCTTACAATGGCTTAATGAGAGTGCCGAGATGAAGGTGGTTAAACAATGCCTCGTTAATATCAAGATGGGAAAGTATTGTGACGACGTATGGTGTGATGTAATTCCGATGCAAGCATCCCACATTCTCTTAGGACAACCTTGGCAATACGATAATGACATCACATATTATGGTCGAAAGAACATTTACACAATTCCAAAAAAAGGTAAACCGTTCCGACTTAACCCCCTACCCCCCAAAGAGATTCTCATAGATCAACAACGAATTCTCAAGGAAATAGGGAATTTGAAACAAAAGGCAAAAGAGGTCACAACCGATAAAAGCCAAACAAATGACCCACGGGTGGTGAGTGAACCTCAATATGAAAATAAAAGAGTGTCTCAAAACATTTATGCGAGTGCAAAAGACATGATAGATACCCTTTTTCAAAATAGGTCGTGCATTCTAGTCCGTTTCAAGGACTCCATTTTATCAACTATCACTAACATCACAGATTTGCCTAGTGTGTTTTCTTCTCTATTACAGGAGTTTCAAGATGTCTTAAGCAACCCACCGGATGGTTTACCACCTACAAGAGGAATCGAACATCAAATCGAATTCATCCCTGGATCAACCATACCAAACCGCCCCGCTTACCGATGCAATCCTGAGGAAACGAAGGAATTGGAACGACAAAGATTCATTATTACAAAAAGGACACATCCGTGAGAGTCTTAGTCCTTGTGCAGTTCCCGTCATTCTAGTTCCAAAGAAAGATGGCACATTCCGAATGTGTGTAGATTGTCGACCTATCAATCGGATAACAATCAAGTATAGGCATCCTATTCCATGCCTAGATGATATGTTGGATGAACTACATGGTGCAAGTATCTTCACCAAAATTGACTTGAAGAGTGGTTACCATCAAATTCGAATGAAAGAAGGTGACGAATGGAAAACATCATTCAAGACAAAGTTCGGCTTGTATGAATGGCTTGTTATGCCCTTTGGACTCACAAACGCTCCAAGCACCTTCATGAGATTAATGAATCACGTTCTTAAGGAGTTTATAGGTAAATTTGTTGTCGTTTACTTTGATGACATTCTTATATACTCATCTTCTTTTGATTCTCATGTCATTCACGTTCGAATGGTTCTCGAAGTTCTTCGACGAGAACATTTATATGCTAACATGGATAAGTGTGTGTTTTGCAGTGATAAGCTTATGTTTTTAGGCTTTATAGTTAGTGTACAGGGTATTCATGTAGATAAAGAGAAGGTCAAGGCAATTCAAGAATGGCCCACGCCTACTTTCATCACCGAGGTAAGATCTTTTCATGGTTTGGCAAGTTTCTACCGTCGCTTTGTCAAAGATTTCTCAACCATTGCTGCACCATTAACCGAGATCATCAAAAAGTCAGTTGAATTCAAATGGGGACCACTACAACAAAAAGCTTTTGAACTTCTTAAAGATAAGTTATGGTATGCCCCTATTCTTCGTCTTCCCAATTTTTCTAACACCTTTGAGCTAGAATGTGATGCTTCAGGCATAGGCATTGGTGCCGTCCTCATGCAAGAAAGACAACCTATCGCTTACTTTAGTGAGAAGTTAAAAGGTGCACAATTGAACTACTCTACCTACGACAAGGAACTTCTTGCACTCGTCCGAGCACTCGAAGTGTGGAAACACTATCTTCTCCCTAAAGAGTTTGTCATTCACATGGACCATGAATCACTCAAATGGTTAAATGGACAAGGTAAGTTAAACAAACGACATGCTCGATGGGTTGAGTTCATTGAATCTTTTCCTTACATCATCAAATACAAACAAGGGAAAGATAACATCGTAGCTGATGCATTATCCCGACGATACACACTTATCACTCGAATGCATGCTACTGTTCTGGGTTTTGCACATATCAAAGAACTTTATCCTAACGATCCAGATTTTTCTGAGATTTATAAACAATGTGTAAAAGGTGCTTTTAACAAGTTTTATCTTGTAGATGGCTTTCTTTTTCGCATGAACAGGTTGTGTATACCACAAAGCTCTTTGCGAGAATTCTTGGTTCACGAGTCACATGCCGGAGGACTTATGGGACACTTCGGTATTCACAAAACACTTGATATAGTCATGGAACACTTCTTTTGGCCGCACATGCGTAAAACAGTGGAAAAGATTTGTGCATCATGCATCACGTGCAAACAAGCAAAGTCAAAGGTAAATCCTAATGGTTTGTATACGCCTTTACCAATTTCTTCTTCTCCTTGGATCGATTTATCGATGGATTTTATACTTGGCTTACCCCGCACTAAGAAAGGACGAGATAGTATTTTTGTGGTTGTGGACAGATTTTCAAAGATGGCACACTTCATTCCTTGCCATAAAACCGACGACATGTCACCTTTGAACCAGGAGATTGGGTATGGGTTCACATGAGAAAAGAAAGGTTCCCGACACAAAGGAAATCCAAGCTAGACCCACGAGGCGATGGTCCATTCCAAGTTCTTGAATGAATCAATGAAAACGCCTACCGCATTGATCTTCCCGGTGAGTATAACGTGAGTGCATCCTTTAATGTTTCTGACTTATCTCCTTTTGATATTTCAGATTCGAGGACGAATCCTTTTAAGGAAGGGGGAGATGATACATGCACCACATGCCCTAAAGCTAAGGATGATGAATTTACTATACCACTTGGCCCTATCACACGAGGCCGGACCAAACTTCTTAAAGACAAGCTTCAAATCGCAGTTCAAGCATTCATCTGGAAGGGTCTAATAGCAGCATATTTGCAACAACTTTTTGAAGGGGATCAAGTTGTTATCCGGTCGACATGTCTTCTGGATATACAACCGTCTGTCTCTTATCTTTCCAACGGTTCTTGAATCGCATCAATCCGATATCGAGAACTCAAGATATGGTCATTTTACTGAAGATAGTGCATGCAGGAAATCCTATACGGGATTAATTCGTTATTTTGTAAATATTACGAATTTTCAATATTTATATTGATTATTTGTAATATAATTTAATATAAGATGATTAATTATCTTTTAGGATCAGATTTATTATTTTATTAGGAATTAAGGTTGGGTTAAAACAATATTTTTAGTTATTATTATTTTATTAGGAATTAAAGTTAAAACATGTTAAGTTTATTAATATTTTATTCTTTAGTTATTTAGGACCTTTAGAATTCAGCCCCTATATAAAGGAGGCTTCATTCAACTTTGTAAATCAGATTTCTTTGATTAATAATACAACGATAGTTCGTTTTTGCAAGTGCTGATTGCCTTGTGCCTTCGAAGCTTCTTCTCCTTGAGTTCTTTCAAGTTCTTGTGAGGGAGATTAATCTTCACACTCCAATTTGCCTTTTCATCGCGACTAGGAGGGTTGGTTAGAGCCATTTATCGTGTTTGCCTTTTCATTGCGACTAGGAGGGCTCGATAGGACACTTATCCATCTATTTTTCCACAAATCCATCCGCACCATCAATCATCTTTACCGTTCACCTTCATAAGGGAGATCTTTTGATTTCTTGGTTATCTTATTTTATTCGCAATTCATTTATCTTTTCTTTATCTTGTTTTAATCTTATTTTTATCTTGTTTCCAGCACATAAAAGAAACCCTAAACAATCCTAGCGACTGCCGCCACCTTCCCATATTCATCACCTTTGTTCTTCATCGAGTCTAGAGCTTTTCTAGGTTTGATTCTTCAACAAGAGCAACGTTCATTAACCCGCCACCGCTTCCCTATCACTTTCCATTCAATATCATCCTGATAAAAATCCAGATCCAGGTTATAGGTTTTAATGTTTGTTTCAATATCTGATTTTCTTAGCAGATCATTTTTCCCCTAAAGACCTAATACCTATCTACCTTTTCCTCCTCCCCGTTCATCTCAGAGGCCCATGATTATTTTGTCGAATACATTTCAAAGGCTTATCAGGCCCTGACAGATCCAGTATCTCGGGAGAATTTTGAGAAGTATGGCCACCCTTATGGCAGGCGGGTAACGTGATTCTTTGTTTCATCTGTTATTGCAGACACTACTAGTTTCATGAAGGAGGGATTTTAATTCTGATTTTTTTCATTGGATTCATAATTTAGGGGCTTCAAATGGGTGTAGCCCTACCTCCATTCCTGTTGAATGTTGATGGAGTATCAGGTGGAATACTTCTTTTGGGAATAGTTGGAGTATGCATTCTTCTTCCTTTGGTGTTGGCTGTTATATATCTCTCAAGATCAGCCAAATATACTGGAAATTATGTGATGCATCAAACTTTGTCGGCCTACTACTATTTCATGAAACCTTCTTTAGCTCCAAGGTACATATTTCCTCAACTGATGTTTATTGTAAAAACAAAGTTAACCAGTGCTTTTTGTTAACTTCATAAAGAAAAGAAAATATTGCTTTGTGTTTCTAAATATATAGAAAATTTCAGTAATGGATCGAAATTTCCCACCAGCCAACAATTTAACTACTCTAACGCGAGGGGGAGAGAGAGAGAGATAGGCTTCTCTCGTCATACTCCTAGTTGCATTGATGCTGGACATTGCATGGACTGGAAGTCAGAGTGTCAAACTAAAAGCTATCATAAATTTCACTTTAATTGACTATGTTCAATAAGGCTTGCTCTTGTTTTCCATTTTTCTTTTCTCAATAGTATTCCAATTTTGCAGCAAGGTATTGGATGTCTTTATAAAAGCAGCAGAATTCATGGAAATCCCTGTTCGGCGAAGTGATGGGGAGCCGCTTCAGAAATTATTTATGTTGGTTAGGAGTGAGCTAAACTTGGACCTTAAGAATATTCGCCAAGAACAAGCCAAGTTTTGGAAGCAGCACCCAGCTTTAGTAAAGGTGATTCACATGCAGCCTTAGTCTATTTATTTTAGTATCTTATTCTTTCAAATACTCTGAAGTTAAGGCTCATTATTCTTGCTGCAGTATATTACTCACCTTTCTACTTTTCAGGCAGAATTGTTGATCCAAGCCCAGTTGACTCGTGAGTCTGAAGCTCTGACACCAGCTTTGTTGCGTGATTTTAGACGCATGCTTGAGCTTTCACCCCGCCTTCTTGAGGAACTCATGAAGGTGAAATTGAAACTCAGTTTTCCTAGCGCATTAATGGATTTGTTGCACTCAATTTTTGAAAATCATTTCTTATTCTGCACTCTCATATTTTAACATATTGATAAGATCAGCTCCTGATTATAATTGTTGCTCTAAACATGATTGATGTTATTCTTGAAAAAATTTGGTATTTTTGTGGCATCTAAGAGTTTTGAAGGATTTAGTAAAAAATTGATTGTGTCGTAACCGGTTTTCGCCCAGACATGAATTTTTTACTTGGCGGGAAAAATAAAATGAATAAATAAATGATTTTGATTAAAAAAATATTTTGGGAGTCAACGTTGACCTTTTGGGGTTAGGTAGGTCAAATACCTAAAAACAATCTTTTAAAATAGTTTTGAAGAAAACATAATTTAAAAGATAAATTGATCTGTGTATAACCAAAAATTTTAATAAAAAAGGATTCGTGAGCAGTTACGTTTAGGGAATGATTAGCACCCTTATAACGCCGAAAATTGGTACCCATTAATTATAAATTGTCTTTATTATTGGAAATTTAAAAATTTAAAAATATATTTAATTAATAATCCTGTTATTTCAAATTTATTAGTACAATTTTAAGAAAAAAATATATTATTTTTTATAATTTTTATAATTTTTATAAATAAGATATTTATTTACTTAGAAATATCAGAAAAAGACTTATAGGTGCTTTAAGACATCTCATTTCTTAATATTAAAAAATAAATAAATATTAATAAAATATTTCTCTAAAAATAATTAAAATAAATTAATATATAATTTATAAAAATATGATATTTATTTATTTAAGAATATCATAAAAGGATTTCTAGTTGCTTTAAGACAACCCTTTTCTTTAATATTAAAAAATAAATAAATATTAAAAATATGATTATTTTTGTGTAAAAGTAATTTATATAAAATTAAATTTATAAATAGGATTTTTAAAAAATAAATAAATAAATATTATTTTATTATATATAATTATATGACTAAATAATAATAATAATAATAATAATAATAATAATAATAATTAAACATATAAAATAATAACTAACAGTGACTAAAATAAATAAAATTAAAACTATAGTATTAAAATACAGAATATATAAATTAATAGACAAAATGAAAATTATTAAAAAATCAGTAACAAAAATATAAAATATAAAACCTAAAGATTCTAATTTGAATTATTAAAAAGATATGTACTAATAGTGTAATTTAGCCTTAATATTAATTATTCGGGTTAAACTAAAATTTATTAAAATTACCAAGGACTAAATATATTATTTACCCTAATTATATATGAACATACAGGTAAGGATTAAATTATAATAAAATGAAATGCAAGAACAAAATTAAAATAATTAAAAGTATGATACGAGTGACCAAAATGGAAGGTTGCGAACTCTGAGTGGCTGAGAAAATAATTTTCCCAAAAAGGGAAATTACACAGGTACCCTCCTGAAAACGGCGTCGTTTGGGGAGGGTTTTAAATATCCTTTTAACCGGTCCTTTGGGGCCAAATTTTTATTTTTTTTCTTTTTTTATTCTCTAGGAGAGAGACTCTCTCGCCTCTCTCTAAGTTTACCTCGCCGGAGGAAACCGATCTCGGCCGGCCGCCTTGCTCCGGCGCCGACCACCACTTATGGTGGCCGAAAATTACAATATTGACCCAAATCAAGCCTCTTCCGACACTAAGGCCGAATCCGGCCTCCATTTGTCCTAAAAATCCCCCAAACCCTGTAGATCTAGGTTTTATTTACCTTCGATGTTTATCTCCGGCGACGTTTGGGTTCTCCGATGGCGGCCAAGGCGTTAGGGGTAAGACTTCTATACATTTTCTTCTTTCTTTCCTTTCTGTTTGTTGTTTTGGTTGCTTTGTTTGCTATGGTTCCTCCTTTTTTCTCTCGGTTGTTGGTCTCGTTTGGCTTGTTGTCGCCTCTGTCTTGCTCTCGTTTTTTCTCTATCCTTTTTCTTTGCAAGATTCGGTGGCTTTTATAGCCACCACCGGTGATGGCTTTGGACCAGTCACGAAAGGGGCTTTCGGTGAGTCACCATAGCTTGACATGTGGAGGGCGTCGTGGCAGCAGTTGGAATCTTCGACGAGGCGTGGCAGCAGCTTCCTGAGGCGACGGGGTGGTGGCAGCAAGGGAGGCAGCGACGTGGCCCTAGGGTGATGATACCCTAGGGTTTCCTCTGAAGGCTTATGGACCTTTGGATCTGGCTAGATCCAACGGCTGAGATTGAGGCGGTTGGCTGCTGAGATGTTAGAACCCTAATTAGGTTTAAAGTTTGGTTGGATCCGGGTTGGGCATGTATCTGATTGGGCCTGGGCATGTAAACGGGCCTCCGGGTCTTGGGTTGATTCCAGTTGGGCCACTGGGTTGTAAATGGCCTAGAAATGTACAAAATATTATTTAATAATAATTATTATAATAATATAAAAATAAAAATAATATAAATAAAATAAAATAATAATAATAATAATATAATAAAAAACAAATGGATAAAAAAATTAGTATCTTCAACTGCCCCTCTTTGCTCATTCTTGTGTTAAAAAGAATAGGACAAAGACGAAAAGATAATAAAATTTTTTATCTATTGGACTTCACTTGATTATGATGGCAATGTTGAACAAGTTCTTTTTTGGGATTAGTTATTCTTATTATGAACTCTTCCATTTTTCCACTGGGGATGATAATCTATCTTCTTCTCTGATGTAATTTAGCAAAAAATTGAACAAATTCTTCTTTTTCAGATGAATTCTTCTCATTGTGAACTCTTCTGGAAATGTTGATCCATCGATCAAGCTAAAGTTGAACAAGTTCTTCACATTATGAACTTCTTCTTCTTCTTCAGATGAGTTCTTCTCATTATGAACTCTACCTGACAATGCTGATCCATCGAGTGATGAATTCGAGCAAAAGGTTGAACAAGTTCTTCTCATTATGAACTTATTCTTCATTCTTCAGATGAGTTCTTCTCATTATGAACTCTTCTTCCTCTTCAGATGAGTTCTTCTCATTATGAACTCTACCTGGAAATGGCTTTGTTGCTCTATTTCTTTCTGGAAATGGAGTCAAGCAAAAGGTTGAACGAGTTCTTCTCATTATGAGCTTCTTCTTCCTCTTCAGATGAGTTCTTCTCATTATGAACTCTTCTTGGCAATGTTGATCCATCGAGCGATGAATTCGAGCAAAAGGTTGAATAATTTCTTCTCATTATGAACTTCTTCTTCCTTCTTCAGATGAGTTCTTCTCATTATGAACTCTTCCGGCAATGTTGATCCATCGAGTGGTGAATTTGAGAAAAAGGTTGAACAAGTTCTTCTCATTATGAAATTATTCTTCCTTCTTCAGATGAGTTCTTCTCATTATGAACTCTATATGGGAATATTGATCCATCGAATGATGGATCCGAATCTTTACTGAAATCTTTGCAAATCTTTGAAATTCCTGTTAAATATTCAAATTGATAAAATGAATGAAAATGCCCCTATTTTTGCAAATGCCTAAATATGAAGCATGAATGTTGAGTGTATTTTTTACTTCAAAGTGGCAACTTGGTCTTCCTTCACTTGGTCAAAATGTCATTTCAAGCTGGCATTTTTTATTTGGAAGAGCAATCTTTGTGTCTTCTTTGTTTCATGAAAGTCTCAAAAAAAATTCATTTATGGAACTCTTGTCGTAGTCAGAACTATGACCTTGATGCCTCATTTTGTCTTTGATAAAATCGGCTTTCTTCATCTGAACTTGTGTAAAAATCCAATAAAGCTTTCATCTTTGAAAATAGAATCTATCATCTTTGAAGAATGTAGATGTAGATATGTCAAACTTAGCAGAGATTAATTAGGAGAGCAACGTCTGTTCTAATTTGACTCTTGAAACACATTAAAAGGAAAATTTATCCTAATTCCTTTCATGTCTCCACATGTAATCAGATTTTGAACAAGGCAACTTAGAACATATCATGTCGATATG